CTACGTCCCGATGCGGGCCCGCCCATCGCAGCCCGCGCAGTGCACTCGGCCAACGCCCGCAGCTGCGGGGCTTCGCTGCTTTGTCCTTTCACCAGGTCGCTCAGTAACCCAGAGCTGCTTAAGCGCGGCCTGTGCCGTTTGGGGCCCGCAAAATCTCTGCTGTGGGCGTTGTCTTGTGCACCGCGGGGTGGTTAGCAGCCTCCCTGGCCTCTACCCACTAGATGCCAGCAGCACCTCCCCACCCGTTCTGACCGCCGAGAGCGGCTCCAGACACTGCCAGATCCCCTCGGGGAGGCAAAAATCACCGGTGGAAAGTCAGTGAGCTAGACTTTAGCACCCACCGTCTTGCAGGCTGGGAAAATAAAGGTGAACCAAGATGCACTGTAGAGTTTAGAAAAAGAGGTAGTTGAAGATGGAAGCCCGCCCGCAGAGACATCTCTGTGGGGAAAATGTGATTTATCTAGGCTTTAATGGGTATTATTTGGATGGTGACAAAAAGCAAATACTTGGCACTCACGTAGGCGACTGCCCTCCCCTAACCCGTGACAGTGGAAATGGATCTTTCCCGTTGACCACACTTAGTCTCAGAATCTTTCGCAGCACCAGTTCCTGGCAGGCACTACCAGTTGATTAGACGTGGTTCAGGAAAGGAAACCCATTTGCCACCCCTAGTCAAATTCCTTTTCCATTAGGCAGCATATCATCTTTACAGATTAGGTTGTGCTGTACACCGACACCCCACCCACCCCCCAAAAAAAGTCTTTTCCCCTGGTCAATTTAAACATCCTCAGTTCCTTCAGTAGCGTTTGTCCAGAACATTCCCTAGCCTAGATCCCTCCCTCCTCCCAGCACACAGCTGTTATTGATTTTAAAATACGATTCCCAGAACCGAGTATGTTCCCCAGAGATGATGGTATTAGTGAAGAGGACATTGTCTTCTCTTAATGCAGCTTAGAATTGCACTCGCTTTTTGTGACCACTGTATCAGAGTGCTGCCTTTTATTGAGCTTGCAATCAATGAAAACTTTGGGTTCTTGTAGATGAACTCTTAAACTAGGTTTTCTCATCCTGTTGTGCAGTTTTTTTAAGCCCAAGTACAGGACTTTATTTTGCGTCCTATTAAATTCTACTTCAATTTCACACCTGATTATCCTAGCTGTGGAGATAGTTTTGAATCTTGACTTTTGCCTTTAATAAATTTGCTGCCCTTGCGGGTTATCTTTGAATGTGGTAAGTTGTTATTGATTCAAATGTGGAGCTGGACTAGGTTAAGGTCAACTTCAAAGGCTACCCAGGGACCCCATGCTGTCCGACTTGGAGCACTTTAATGTTCTAGTAAGCTATGAGTTGTGTCCCTTATTCAACATATAATGTTTCCTGGGCCTCCGGCACTGTTGTAGCTCTGGGGATACCACAGACTTGCCATCCAAGCTAAAGATCTCTAGTTGTTTTTAGGTAGATACCAAATTACTTCCCAAAGGGACTTACTGTCTCCTGGATTTCCCTTCCAAAACAGAAAATTTAGGTTTGCCATGACTTGTTCTCAGTGTAACCAGGAGCATATAAATGAATAATAACCTACTCTGTATTTGTCTAGGGATTCATGTTAAATGACTTAAGTGTATAATAAAACCTCCTAGTGGTGTCTGACTAAAGACAACCATTTTATACGTATTTTTGTTGGCGTTTTAATCTCTTTGAATGTACCCAACTATAGCCTAGGAGGTAAGCCTTTTTGTTTCTGAAAATAGGAATAACACCTATATCTGATGCTATGGTTCTTTTCTGTTCCAGCAACTTCTCAAATGTGACTGATCACTAGATATAGAATCGTATTTGTTAATCCAAGATATGTAGTTTGCTGCAACCTGAAGACTTGTATTTATTGAAATGTCTAGATTTTTTTTTATATTGCCATCTTGTGGTTCATAGCCTGCCTAACCTTCTTGCACATTTGCTGTTTGAAAATCATTCTCTTCGAGAAAATTGAAGTTCAGCAGACCTGTGTCCTCTGTTATTTGTATACACCAGGTGCTTGAAGCAGTTGCTCTTTCTCCCGTTTTCCTGCTTGTATTCTAGTAAAAAAGGCTTGTCTTAACATATTCCACACATTTCAGCTCATTTTGGGCTTTGCCTTTCTGATGCTAGCCTCACAGGTTTCTGGTCCCCGGTCCCATTTCCGTGTTCATTGCTAGTTAGTGCCCTGCCCATCCCGAGTTCAAGGTAGTACAGAGCTCCATGTAGCACCACCTTGGTTTGTTTAGTTGCCTCTCCCGAAAGCAGCTCAGGGGCGCTCTAGCTACCAGAGAGAGCTGCTGTTTTCACACCAGGTGAGTCCTGCCTCCCCTACCTTCAGGCAACAAGCCCTGTCCCTTGTAGTGCCTCAAGCAGCTTCTCACAAAGATGCTGTTGATCACTTGAACACAGACTTCAGCTATCAAGCCTGAGACGCCCCCACCCGGGGCCTCAGCTGGGCTAGTTAATCCCACCATGCGTTTCATTCCTCCATTTCCTCTCCCATATTCCAGGGTCATCTCAAAAATACTGTCTAAACTACAGCCCCCTCCTCGCAGCTCCATTCTGCAAACTTAGTATATACTGGGCTCGGTATTAGGGATTTAGGCTGGGAAAAAACATGCTCTCATCCCCTAATTGCTCTAATAGCGTCATCTGGATGCCCTTCGCCCCCCCAACCTTTCCCACATGCTTTGAAACCCATGTGCCATGGTAAATGAACTCCCTTTGTCCCCACTCTCTTTACAGAGTGCACCTTCTACCTTTTTGCTGACACTTCCTTGAATATTTCCTTTTTTCTCATACTTGTAAAGGTGTGTGTGTTTTTCAGCTTTGACGTGTGTGAGTTTTCTGCTGCTGCCATAACAAATTACAAGTTTAGTGGCTTAAAGCAACACAAATGCATTACATTACAGTTCTTAGCATAGAAGTCCGACATGGGTCTTACTGCGCTGAAATCCAGGCATCAGGAGGCTGCGTTCCCTTCTGGGGGCTCTCGGGGCGACTGTTCCTTTGTCCATTCCAGCTGCTGAAGGCCACTCATATTCCGTAACCGGTGGCCCCTTCGTCCATCTTTAAAGCCAGCAACACTGCACCTCGTAACCATCCTGTAGTCACGTTCCCCCCTGACTTCCTCTCCTGCCGCCCTCCTTGGCTTTTAAAGCCCCTTATAATTACATTGGGCCCACCTGGGTTGGCCAGGATCCTCTCCTATCTTAAGGTCAGCTGATGAACCACCTTAGTTCCATCTGTAGCCTTAATTCCCCTTTACCTTTACCTTGTAAATTAACTCACAGGTTCCCGAGATTAGGATGAGGAGCTATTGAGGGCGGGGCGGGGCGGGAGCCGGGTGGGA